TCAAAATACCATTTATGTAACTTAAGTGAGGAAGTAAATCGACGATTTTGTTGTCTTCTGAACTATTTGTTCGCAAATATGTACATTTTTTAAACGTACATGTATGATACCGATACATGTTTGTGATAATTCTGCCTACAACGTGTGAAATAAGGAAAAAAGAAAAATCTTATCTTCGATGTTCCGACATTTTGTTACAACGTAATCAAGTGGAAAACCAGTGAAATGCAAGTAACTCTGTCATTGCAGAGGAACATGCTCTTTTGTCAATTTATGGTGGAAAAATGGTGAAACCCTAAATGAACTTAGGCTTCAAAAATTCTATTAAAAGAGAGCAGCAAGATCTAAATTATTGCAGCCCCGTGTTCTTCCTCCAACTTCTGATGCTGCGGAAAACAACAATTATAGAGTGTACCATCAGATCCAGGAGTGGGAGGGAAATAAGCAACGAAACGTTTGTTCCCATTGCCTAAATGCAGCTCCCCTCTCTCAGAGATCATCCATTGTGTGTGTAAGGCATATTGTACATCTATGAAGTAGGTATGCAAAGGCATAACGGGCCAAATACCTCCATAACTGATCATGAAAATAATGATGAACACTGGCGGATCTGGGTGGGGGGCTGGGGACCCGGGCCTCCTTGGGTGGCCCTAGAATAAAAATTGGGACCAAAAAAAGCCTTAAGGCCCTAAAAAGTGGGCCTTTCTGGTCATAAGAGGGCCTTTTAAATCCTTATTTTTTAATTTCAGGCCAAATTTTGAAGAAAATGGGCCCCATTATTTCAAAATTTGGGCCCACTTAAGGGGTTTAGGGGCCCAAAATTTTTTTCGCGCAACCGCAGAAATCTTTTTCTCAGACCTGAAATTTGCCCCCCCCCCTTGTTGGTTCCCAGGTCAACCCCTAATGAAGACAGGTGATAGACAAGGTTGTAACTGATTGTTGTTACAACATAATATTAGCTTAAGTAATCAGCATTATTTTTTGCTCTCTATAAGTAAGACACATATATGAAGGTTAAGATTACAAAATTAAGGCAGCATTTTTGATAATGAACATAACATTATCGAGCCATGCCCTGTATAAAGACCAGGGATTTACACTAGTTAACTCAGTAGTATTTATTAACGTAGAAACCTTTTCCTCATTTTTTATTAAATTTCATCTTGAAATCCAACATTCTTCAGTTGAACTTATTCATTTCATTTCTCAATATCACTGTGTGGTTAAGAACACCTTAGTCAAAAGTAACACTTTTTCCTTAATACAGGGCGAGCCAAAAACGTAACCCAAACAAATCTTAATAACCCAGTCCAGTCACCCTGCATGGATTTAGTGTCATATTTGGCAGAATTGAGCCTTGGTCAATGTATTATCAAGTCTCAGTGGTCTATCTCTAGTGGTCACGATTTTTATGGCCATTTTATACCATTCCATGAAATATGAGTGTCATGCCTGGAGGCCAACTTGAACGTATCGTATGTTGTTGTTCAAATCAGGAGCATAAAAATCTTGTGTCATGGCTCTCATCTTCATTCTTATCTCTTGTTTTAATGTTTCAAGTGTTGTTGGTATAGAAAAAAGGTCCACAGATAATAAAAAATGGTGGTATTGATGTCCAGTCAGTTAGGCACATTTCGATATTTTGAGCACATTTTGTAAATGGCCATAAAATCATGACTATTAAGGATACATCAATGACACTTAGTAGAATGAAAGCACATTGAACAAGGTAATTGTGCCAAATATGATGTCACACCCATGCTGAATGACTGGGTTATTAACAAACATTTGGTTGGGTTACCTTTTTTTGGCTCATATAAATAAACTGATGTCAGGGACAGGGATATTTAACATTTTGTTGCCTTTTCAAGGATATTTTTAGACCACCAATTGTACTTAATTTCTAACAAATCGTTCTCTCTTTTACCAGAAAAGGTATATTATATATCAAATTGAATTTAAAAGGAAAAAACATTTGATAATTTAGCAGTTATCAACTAAAAGTAGGACTTCCCCTATATTTCACCTGGCATTTGCTGTTTTTCTACTTTTTTTTACATAATCCTTTCCTGAAAACATCAAAAAACTGTTTTCAGGACAAAATAAGCCTTTACAAATAATTTAGTTGTGCTACTGAGTTCAAATATGACATATCTTGGAAGTAATTAAACAAAAGTAAGGTCACCCCAAAAGTGTGTGTGGTAAAATATCGAAATTTCAAATATTTTTTTCACCCTCAATATCCACTTAATGACCCTGATACTTATCAAATACAATGGTCAGGTGTATAATAACCTCCTTGATTTTTTTCATGCAATTCTGATGAATAAATACAGAAATAAATACATTGTTATATTAAATTCGGGCTATTTGATGGCCTAATTTCAGATATTTGGGGCTAGAAATGCCAATTATTGCACTCAAATAGTTGGTTAACAATTTTTAGTTGCTCTTATGTCAGTAAACTATCATAATATTACTCGTTTAGTTGAGAAGAGCATCCCATTTTGAAATAAAAAAATATTTACAATCCCATACTCAAATTTGGAGGGGGGTACCTAGAATGTGACATTTCATATTTGTCCACTGCATATATTTTTCTACATTTTTGATATGTTTTTCAACTGGTATCAATATACAATATAAGCCTAATTTAAAAACTGTTGCAATTTTGGGGATGTTAAACTTCCATTTGCCTAGCCTATAAGAGGCCACAGATATGATAGCTAAACTACAAAACAAACTAAAATATACAAAAGCTAGGACATGTATAATGTTTCTATTTTTTACATATACTGTTTCAATATGGTCCTTTGATTGCTTATTTTTTAAATTCAAAGTACATGTAGTTCCAAACATTTAAAATTTTACCGTACTTCAGTAAAAAATGAAGTTAGTTGGTGACACTATTTTTTTGCTTGATACATGTAGATAAATTAAGCTATAATATATACTCTTTATTGATCGTTAAGTAATTTTTAAGCTTCTGGGTGTATTAACAGCCACTTGTACTGTAGAGTAGCTGTTTACTGGGCATAATTGGCCCCATGCATTAGCATAGGAGCAATGATTTGACGAGTTGTCAGCTTTGTGACAAATAAAATAGTTTTTGTTATTTACTTTATATTGAAACATAATTTTGATTGATTTAATGCATTATAACCAGTAATGGCATTTCAATGTATCTTTTGTTGCACTATGGTATATAACTAGCAACATATCAGACAAAAACATACAAAAAGTAGAAAAATTGTATTTTTTGGAGATTATACCTAGAATTTTTATTTTCTTAAAATCGAATTTTGATTATTTAAAAGATTTCCAGTAGGCAAAAATTCAAAAATCAAAATGTTTTCTAGCTTTAAGTAAAAGTGCACACATAGACAAGATGTGTTCAATTCTTGCCAATCAGAACACGCTATTTTACGTAACTGCATTCTGTTATATAACCAATAACGAAGGTCACTAGTTAAATGGTCATCTTGATGATGACTGGACCCAGACTGAAATTAATACTTTGCCAGTTTGACGCTTGGAAAAAGTTTCATTTAAAATATGTTCTTTTAGAGATTTTGTATCTTTTAAATGATTTTATAGAAAATGTAATTTAAGTCCAAGATTCAAAGCATTGTGTACCATTCCTTTCAGGTGTTGTTTCATAAAATTAAGACTCGATTCTCCGCATCTCGTGCAAATTTTGGAAAGTAACACCTTCAAGGAATGGTCATTCCAGAATCCAGAGAGCTTAAATCCTAAAAAGTTGGTGACACCTATTTTTTTGTCTGATTATGAAGTATAATTGTGCCATAGCCATTTTAATATAAAAATGCATACATTTTATTGTAATTACTAATTTTAGGCCATTTTTTCTATTGCAGTACCTTAAATGTAATTACCAGCCATTTTTTCTCTTGCAGTACCTTAACAGTAATTCCAAGCCATTTTTCTATTGCAGTACCTAAATGTAATTCCCAGCCATTTTTTCTGTTGCAGTACCTTAAATGTAATTCCCAGCCATTTTTCTATTGCAGTACCTTAAAAGTAATTCCTAGCCATTTTTTTCTATTGCAGTACCTTAAATGTAATTCCCAGCCATTTTTCTATTGCAGTACCTTAAATGTAATTCCCGGCCATTTTTTCTATTGCAGTACCTTAAATGTAATTCCCAGCCATTTTACTATTGCAGTACCTTAAATGTTATTCCCAGCCATTTTTTTTCTATTGCAGTACCTTAAATGTAATTCCCAGCCATTTTACTATTGCAGTACCTTAAATGTAATTCCCAGCCATTTTACTATTGCAGTACCTTAAATGTTATTCCCAGCCATTTTTTTTCTATTGCAGTACCTTAAATGTAATTCCCAGCCATTTTACTATTGCAGTACCTTAAATGTAATTCCCAGCCATTTTTCTATTGCAGTACCTTAAATGTAATTCCCGGCCGTTTTTTCTATTGCAGTACCTTAAATGTAATTCCCTGCCATTTTACTATTGCAGTACCTTAAATGTTATTCCCAGCCATTTTTTTCTATTGCAGTACCTTAAATGTAATTCCCAGCAATTTTACTATTGCAGTACCTTAAATGTTATTCCCAGCCATTTTTTTCTATTGCAGTACCTTAAATGTAATTCCCAGCTATTTTTCTATTGCAGTACCTAAATGTAATTCCCAGCAATTTTTTTCTGTTGCAGTACCTTAAATGTAATTCCCAGCCATTTTTCTATTGCTGTACCTTAAATGTAATTCCCAGCCATTTTTTCTATTGCAGTACCTTAAATGTAATTCCCAGCCATTTTACTATTGCAGTACCTTAAATGTTATTCCCTGCCATTTTTTCTATTGAAGTACCTTAAATGTTATTCCCTGCCATTTTACTATTGCAGTACCTTAAATGTTATTCCGTGTCATTTTTTCTATTGCAGTACCTTAAATGTAATTCCCAGCCATTTTTCTATTGCAGTACCTTAAATGTAATTCCCATCTACTTGTTTTATTGCAGTACCTGAACACAGGGGCAGGTGGTATAGCAGGGGCATTTATTCACAAGAAACATGCCAAGAATGACTTCCCAAAGCTGTCAGGCTGGTGGGGTCACAAAATGGACACACGATTCAACATGGACAACAGTAAGTATTGTCGCATAATCTTTAAAACTTCTAATGCCTCAGTCATATTTGATTGTACAGCAGCCGTAGCTTCCCTAAATCAAGAGAAATATGCAGCATAAAATATAGAGACAAGCAGTGTGATATAGAATTTTTATATCGATTTTGTGAAGCTACGGCCACTATATGCCCATCGTAGAGCAAATGTGACTGAGGCTTTAGAGCACCATCAATATTTTTTTAAGCCTTTACTTTGTTTAATGAATAAAATAACCCTTTTCAAAAAGGTTGCCAGTAGTCATGATGCAAATGCTTTTGGATTCCATTTATCTAGGTACAGATTGTAAAGACAATATCTGCTCCTCTATTTTGTTACTTTGTTGTTTGTTACTGTGCCTTAATAGGGAGCTCTGGTTCAGACAGTGAAAGTTATGCTTGGTTTTTTGTCACAATGAAAGCCTAGAAAGTGACTTATAGATATAGCACAAATGAAATGCCTTATTTCAGAAATGGATTTAGCAAATGGTGCACATGGATACCGTGTTAGTAACCCACCACCCCTTCTCTGTGCTACACTAGAGGCTAGTCTGAAGGTATGGCCATCAATTTATTTTACTTCGTTAATTTTACTCTAGATTAGTGACATTCTGATTGGTCGGTTAGTTCAATCTCATTTTCAATTAACTCTTTTATCAAGTGGTTCCTTGAGAAGAGAATGCTTTGGCTGCCTTATTATCTCATCAAATGAAATCAGGGCTTCTAAAAGTAGCCTCACTGATGACCCGATCATGTTGTATAGCATATACACTTGTGCTATGGGGATTGAAGTTCAGCTCAACAGCTGATTTTCAAATGTCAATATTGCGGCCACTTGAGTGTCAATTTTGCACAATTTTTAGATTAAATAAAGCACTGTTATGATGAAGTGTTTTGTTGCATAAGATATTCTTAACATTGAACACAAACAAGTTAAACAAATAAAACCAGTCTAGACCAGAGGTGTACATTCATGTGAAGTATTTCATTTATCATTTACGAGACAATTTGCTTGATTCCCTAGCTAACAAGTACATAATGTATTATATTGTATTTAAGGTTCTCTTATTATTTTGCGTGCAACATAATATCAATTATTTATGGGGAATGAATAAAAAAATGAAAAACACACTATAAAATGAAGTGACTCTTGTACTTTAGGTGTTCAATGAAACTAGTATGAGCGCTCTACGTGAGAAGTCTAAGCTACTCACAGCATACCTTGAGATGCTATTGGATGAGCACTACCCCCGTCCAACTCCTGCTAACCCTCACTCCCGCCCCTATGCGGAGGTCATCAGCCCCAGGGATCCTGACCAGAGAGGTTGTCAGCTTTCTATCATGTTCTCTGTGTCTTTAAAGAATGTCTACACCGAATTGGAGAAAAGAGGCGTTGTGGTAAGTTGATTTCATGTTGTGGAGACTTGATTGAATGTACCGGACAGTTGATTGATGCTGCATTATAAGATAATACAGTAATATGAAACTTGATTGAATATTGAAGTTAATTATATCTTGTCCGGAGAGATTAAGTTACATAATGATGAAACTTGACTGTAAAAAATTGATAAAATGATCAATTATTATTGTGCTTCCAAAGGTTTCTTTTGAAATGAACAGTAATGAATGAACACTGTTAGATTATAAATGTTTAAGATATTTGAGCTGTTCCATTTAAATTTTTTGGTTTAACATTGTCAAGTGTTGATCTAAAATAGGTAAACATTTTCTTCGGAAGACACATTTGCTGTTTATTTTCAGTGTGATGTTCGTAAGCCATATGTGATACGTATAGCCCCAGCCCCACTGTACAACTCATTCAAAGATGTACACAGATTTGTGCAGCTACTTGGCGACAGCCTAGTTGCTGCCCATGTAAATTCTACCACAGAAGGCGTGTAACATTTAAATGTTGTGCAGCTATTAGGTGACTAAGCCTAATTGCTGTCCATATAAATTCTACCACAGAAGGAGTTTAATATGTTAATGTTGTGCAGCTATTAGGTGAAAGCCTAATTGCTGCCCACACTAATTCTACCACAGAAGGCGTGTAAAATGTAAATGTTGTGCAGCTATTAGGTGTAAGCCTAATTGCTGTCTATATAAATACTACCACAGAAGGAGTTTAATATGTTAATGTTGTGCAGCTATTAGGTGTAAGCCTAATTGCTGTCCATATAAATTCTACCACAGAAGGAGTTTAATATGTTAATGTTGTGCAGCTATTAGGTGTAAGCCTAATTGCTGTCCATATAAATTCTACCACAGAAGGAGTTTAATATGTTAATGTTGTGCAGCTATTAGGTGACTAAGCCTAATTGCTGTCCATATAAATTCTACCACAGAAGGAGTTTAATATGTTAATGTTGTGCAGCTATTAGGTGAAAGCGTAATTGCTTCCCACACTAATTCTACCACAGAATGTAAAATGTGAATGTGAACCTTTTTCTAAAGACATTGGAGTACATGTATCTTTGCTCAGGGTTCACAGAATATGATAAGGTAAAACCTGTTAAGTGGAACACTACTCTTAGTAAAACACTTCCACTAGTGGAACACTTTTCAGAGTCCCAAGACCAACAGATTTAATGTTAAATGTACCTTTATAAGTAGAACACCTCCGTTAATGGAACACTTTTTAGAGTCTCTTTACCAATTGATTTAATGTTAAATGAACCTCAGTAAATTGAACACCTCTCAAACATTTCAAATAGAAAAACACTTCTTTTGAGTACCAACGGTGTTTCACTTACTACTCAGGTTTTATTGCATCACAATGCGTTCCTATATTAACCAATATAATATCAAATACCAAAACAGATAAAGGTAACCCATCTACAACTAGAATACCTGGCAGAATTTTTGTTCAGTGAACTTTTGAATATAATAGTGGGATTGACATTACTACAATCAATGAAGTTTAATGCATTTATACTATCACCAATCACACAGTTAATTTGTAAGCACAATGTGATCACGGTGGAGGGTTTAGTCTACTCATATAACCTGACTGTGATGTTAGATGGAGTATGCAATGATGACTATATGTTGTAATACTATAATAGATTGCTCAATCCATACGAGGTATTGTTTACAAATTTGTTACACTTCCCATTTTACCATATACATGTACATGTATTCAGGATTTGTACCATATAATGGTACCGTATAATATGTACAAGGGGAATATTTATAGGATATCCTATGATTTTGAGGAATATCATTTTTATCTACGAGGTGATCTTGATATCTGCACGAGAGAGCAAAGCGAACGAGTGCATATATCAATATCACCGAGTAGATTAAAATGATATTCTGAAAAAAATCATAGGATGTTCTTATTATCCTACACTTACAAGGAGTGTACTAATAATGTATAATATCATTGCAAAATGAATTTCATGCCAACCAGAGTCAATTTGGCGGGAAATCAACAAACGGAGTATATCGTCACAATATCCTCCGCATATTGGGTTTTCCGGAGTATATCGTCACGATATCCTCCGCCCGGAGTATATCGTTACGATATCCTCCGGATATTCATTTTGCCAATTAACATCAAATTTATTTTTTAATGTTATACATTTAGTACACTAAGTGTAGGATAATATATTATATTAATTATATTATAGTACTGTATATTATATATATCATATGACAATGAAGTTGTTAAGTAATTAATAATACTTATTATTAGCAGGCTTCTTATAGCATTCAGTACCTCTCCAGGCCATATTTCAAATGGTTTGACAATCAGCATTGAATGAGGTTAAAAATGTTGTTAGTTTATATTATTATATTACATGCTGTATTAGTGCATGATGATCAGTGCCAATTTGTGTTAATTTATGTACATATATACAGTTTTGCCAAAGATGTAAAATTCTAAAAACTATCATGTTAAATGGAATATCAATATTGCTTTTGTAGAGCTGTTGTAGGGATAAAAGTAAGATACAAACATCTTAAAAACGTCTGAAATTGGCAAAATGTATTTCTTTTAATTGATATTTTCTTTATAAATGGCTTTTCTTTTTTCAAAGTACAAGCAATTTTACATTGATTAAAAATTGCATATATTGTATATATTATTGGATATGATTTTGATATGGTGATGAAGGATATTATTATATAATCTTATCGTGGATAATACTCAAGCCAATCGTAGGCAGCTAATTTTAATGATGTTAATGTACATATTTGATTGTTTGTTTATCAATCAAATTTATCAGATGTATGAATGAAGTGCGATGACGCAATTGTTAACCATAATACATAAATACAAAATGAAATATTGTATTTATAGATATACCTACTGTATATGTACATACAGTGAGGTTCAACAATGAAAATAAATCTTTGATTTTCTGAAACAATGTTTATTATGTTCCCATATTGTAAGAGTAATCAGGTTGAGCCAGAATATGTGAATGCAATGAATCCGGACAAAACAATATTATTTATATACTGCACTGTACTGCACTTTTTCTCCGTCTTCCAGCTAGGTTTCGCTAATTTAGGATATGAATCAAGATCGATGGAACATTCAATATTTTGAGCAGTTTGTTACGATCAAATTCACTTGCGGCAATGCACAGTGGACGTAAACTAACACAAAACTAGCCTACTGGTTAAGAGCATTCTAACAATGTAAGTCCTCAATTTCAGGGACTAGAAATCTTGCCCCAAGTTTGAATTTTGAGTTCTAAAAATGAGGGTTCAAGGAATGGGCCTTAGATGTACAGATTGCATTTGATTTTAATTCAAAATGACCTTTAACTTGCAATTCTGCTAGAAACCTTTATTTCTGAAAATATTAAAGTTATAAATAAATTCTATTAAACACCATGACATGTTCGTCTTTTAGATATATATAGGGTGTTTCATATGTATGCACCCCCCATAAACTCATACATGGAGCATTGCTACCCTATCATGTTATATATCATTTTGAACTTTATCGAAAGTTACATAAGATTGCAAAGTTTCAGGCGTGTCCCTGAAAAAAGATACGATGTATCAAAGGTTGTGGGTAAGGGGTCATTTAGAGGGCAACTTCTGGTCATTTTTGGACTACGTCCTATCAATATATCTTTGTGCATAACTGTCACACACATGTGAATTTTTCCTTTAAATTGCCCTCAAAATTCCCCTTGAAATGACCTGTGCCCACATACTTTGATACGTTGTATCTTTTGTTAGGAATACCACTGGATTCCAAAACTTTAGAATCTTATGTAACTTTCCATTAGGAACAAAATGATATATAACATAATAGGGTGGTAATACTACATACATACATATGAAACACCCTGCATATACAAGGACGCAAGGCATCAACATGCAAAAGGTCACAACCTATAACAATATGTCACCACTTCTTGAAGTGACATAATTACCATGGATATTGCCAGGGTACTTCACCAGTTTCCATTAAAAAGTTAAAGAGCTTCTATGCCATAGGATAGCATAATCAAGACCCCTCTGGATTTTTTTGGATATTGAGTTTCACCACATATATACCCATCTAATTATCAAAGTCCCAAATCCCCTTGTTTCAATGTTAATTTTGCGATTGTGCTGACCGATCTAATTATTTTCGAAGAAATTAATTCTGTCTGAAGTTTGAATATACCGGGAAAGTTCTCCTGTTATCTGATTGGTCGTTGAATTTGTTTATCATAAACCTGATTGGGTGCCTGGTTCGAGGCGCTTGTGTGACTCAATGAGGATTCCCCTCGCTAGCCGAGGAATCGATTGTTTAATTCTGGAGTTTGGTTGTTCTGTTGATTATTTCCGATTTTTCGGCAACAATATACCAAAAGTTATTCTCAAGATATATCCATGGTATGTGAGATATTATATGAGCAATAACAATAGGACATCATTGATTGTCTGGGGGAGAAACCTATGGCATAATGCACCCTTAATATTGAACTTCTAGGATTGGAGGGGTATTGTTATCAAAGACCAAGTGTACTTTTACTTTTCAAATATAGACAAGAGAATAAAATATATATTCAATAATAAGTTTATTTGGTTTAGCTTTAACATGTGCATCATTTTCGTCCTTTCTTTCCTTTCTTGCCAGCTTTCCCCGCCATATTTTTTCCCCTTCGTTTTTGATTTATTAACTGTCTATGTTTCTGAAAGTTCTCTTTCTTTGCATGCTCACGTCTTGATTTCAATATCTGGTCTTTAGATTTCAGTTCTGATCTGGCATTTCTGAAGCCTCCCTTGGCTGGTCCACTGCCCTCCCCTGGCTTCTTGGAGCCCTTTGTATGGAAACCTGAAATGCACACAAATGCATTGTATAATGAAATGCACATGAATACATCAGTACTTGTTATATAGGAGGATTAAATTTCTTCATTATGAAGACAAAAAGCTTTGTAACAAAGGAATTTGTTCTTGTGTTACACCTCAAAATTCTTCATTGCAAGCTTTTATTCTGTCAAAATGCTATGTAATGTAGGAATTAAATCAACTATGTAACCCTTACCATTGTGTATTAACTTTGAAGATTAACATTCTTCCTGAACTTCACTAAGGTTATTTTCTAGTAACCACAAGGATTGGAAGCCATTATTCAAACTTGATACTCCATTGCCCGACGCAGACCAATTTGGTAACATTATACTTAAAGGGATAAGGTGCGTAAATGAAGTCTCACTTTAAATCTTCATAGTATTGCCAATGGATAAATAAGTACCTGATCTTTCATTTGACACCAAAAACAGCTCAAACAGACCACATCAGAATTGACACTAGATCATGAAAAAATATTTTTGATCTATCAATTTTTATATGTCAAGTTTTTAGCAATGCGATAGAAAGATGGCATTGTTGTTTGCATTAATTATCCATTCATTTTTGATAGTATTTTCAAGCATACGCCATCTTTTAATCCAAGAGATATTTAAAACATACACTTTGTGAAAAGTGGTAATTCACTTTTTTCAATCTCTGAACTTCAAATGCTGTTTTTCTATGCAAGTACTTTTTTTTCACATCAGTATTATCCCAAATAAAAGTTTTTATCATATTTGATTGACTGTGTGAGTAATATTTTGTCCTTTTTCCTTCAAAAATAGGCGCATTGCCTGTTTAAGTATTACTCATATTTTGAAGACTAAACCTGCTGAGGAAGCTTGAGTACTACCAAAATATTCCAATGACCGTCTTTCAACAAAATACTTGGTCCAAAGAGAACATTATAGAAATTGTTTCACTGCAGGCAACCGGGTATCGAGTTTGAATAATTGCTGCCAATCCTTCTTGAGTTACCATAACTAAAACACCATTTACAATGCTGACATCTAAAGATGACTATTAGAAATATTTATATAAAAAGAAGACAAATATAAAAAATAAAAAAAAACAGTAAATTTTATAAACCATGTATATTAAAATATAGGGTGACCCCTCTAAAAAAACAGAACACATGAATATGTTCCACTGAAAAAAGGTTCTGCTTTTTTGGGTCACCCTGTGTACAAAAATAAACTTTTACCTCTTTTCTTAAAGCCAACTACAGAAAGTCTGTTAGGATTGACATGTTTCTGCGTTTCTGTGTCACTGTCCTCTTCCTGTTCTTCCACCTTGTTTTTGTTCAACCAATCCTTGTAACTGACCCCTGGTTAAGGTTAACTTAATGCAACATTAAACTTAAGTCTGCTCCCAGGTTTAATTTTAATTTTTTTTTATTTGTATAATAAGAATATCACTCTCATGTGACTTGAACACTAAAAAGCACATTATTCTCAAGAACTTTTTTATTGCAAAACTGAAAATCAATGCAACATGGATCTGTGATCTTATTCCGTTACAGCTGAAAAGGGTGGATATAAACACAAACAATCAGATGTGAGGTAATGTATTCATAAATCCAAAATATCAAGTTCTATCCAGAATATAATCTGGAGCCAACCAACCTTTTTATTATTAAACTATGATTGCAAATCAGTTGTTTCTACAATTGTCTGTTACTAGCTAGTTTTTCAGTGTTATTATTGTACTTAAAGATTGTAAATTAATTTTCATCTTTGTGTACAAATTTTAAAAAAAAATTATTGTTAAAATACAGGTGTTGTAAAATGAAAGCATAATAACTATCTTGGGCACACTGAATAAAATGAAATAGAACTGTGGTAAAAGGAAGTTGAAAATGAAAGATGAATAAAGGATACATGTCAGTTTTATATGATGCGTTGATCCATTGACCGCTCTCTGTTTTCACTTTCCTCTTTCCCTTGGGGTTACCACTATCTACACTCACAAATTTCTTTTTCTTACGGTCCCTAAAAAAGGTAAACATGCATGTCAACAAATGACCTTGAACTCTGGTTCAACTTGGTCACAACAGAGTCATTCATATGCATGTCAACAAATGACCTTGAACTCTGGTTCAACTTTGTCACAACAGAGTAATTCATGTGCTGCAATCTATTTTATTTAATTTCAAAAATACGTCCCTGAAATAAACTTTGAATGTAGATGGATGAGGTGAGGTAGCCTTTATGGAAAAAGTACAGTGCATTTACATTTCAGCTATTCCAGAAAAGAATGAATATTCCATGATTATTTATGATGTAATATAACATAATGGCATATGACCTGGTCTTTCTATTCTCATCAGTTTCCCATTCTAACATGGGCTTTCTATTTTGACCTGAACTTACCATTTCTTTTGGCCACTGATCTTTCGATTAGTTTTATCATCATCACCAGTGAAGTCAAGTACTGCACCCATGGCTTGTTGTTCAAAAGATGCTCCAACAGTCAGCCTAGAACATACATGAAAGACAGTGTCAAACATTAACCTTGGAGCACATGTATTCAGCTATCATATATCATAATTCTCAATTTTGCAATGCAACTAATATTATGCCTCAGTCAAATTTGATCTATAGCAACTGTACAGTAGCTGTAGCTTCCCAAAATCGAGAGAAATATGCAGAATAAAATGTAGGGATGGGCAGTATGATGTAGATTTTCTATATTGATTTTATGAACCTACGGCCACCGAGACCAAATGCGACTGAAGCTTAAATATATGGCAAAACGGTAAAACATTGAATCACAATTGACAATGTATTCTAGAAACTACCCTAAGATTTATCTGTCCACAATGTTTTCATTAATAAATATTCTGACAACTTAGAATAATTTGATAATTTAAACTGATATCATAATAATATTTTTCATATATAATCTATCAATATATCAAGATATCTATCAGTACATTTGTGATTCAACTTGTTTAGCTTTAGTTTTGTACTACACATTCCATCTAAAGATTGCTGATAATAAACATGAATATTTATGAAAATGAAACAACATTCTACTTTAAAAAATTATGTCCTACCCCTTCTCAGACTGATAATCTTTTGGTTTATAAGATATATAATATTCCTCATCTTTTCCTAGTTGTTGCTTCTTCTTTTTGTGTGGTGGCTGAGTACTACTGTCCCCATCATTGTTGTATCTCTTAGGGGCCACAATGTTGGAGAATGCACCCTAGAATTAAACAATGGCATTAACATGACAAAATGTCACCACCTTGTAAGTTATTGTAAATCTTTACAAACACCAAACACAAATTGTTACAGATGCTGTACTATGAATGCCAACCACCGAAGCCCAACCACAATAATGTTGGATACTTATAATAACAATATATCACTTCTTTTGGAGGTGACATAATATTATCATATACACAGTCATTTTATACACTCTCGCATCATTGAGGATTGTTTCCAGTAGGCTAGTTGCTTACACCCCAGTCACATTTGTCATACGGAGGCCGTGCGTCGACCGCAGATCAATTAAATCAGTGTTTTTCTGCGGCGAGCGTAGGAAAACTACGCTCGCCTTGCGGCCTCTGTACGGCGTATCCAGTTTATTACAGGCCGCAGGGTCGCCGTAGAAAATTATAACTCGGAGTTATAATATTTGTTCATTTCTGAGGTCCCCGTAGAAATCAACTGGCTCAACAAGAGTGAATCATTATTTGTCAATGTTTCACGATCACTTTTCATTTGATATTACATCCTAGCACTATGAATAACATTTATAAATTGTCCCGATGTAAATAAAATGAAAAAAAGTATTATTTATCAACAGAAATTTTAAATTCACCGTGCGGCTGCCGTGGGAAATGTGACAAAAGTATGAGAGCGCAGAAATTCCACGGCGAGCGTAGAAATGTTACTGGCCACAGAAATGTAGGAAATGTGACTGGGGTGTTAGCATTACATATTAGATGTTTTCTTGTTGAAAGCTGAGAGAATGCAACTTTTTGCCGAAATCTAGCTTTTCCTTTCCATCAATATGCAGTGCTCTCATTAGCATTAGAGCAACCATGTGCTTCACCTTATACAAAATTTGAAAATTACATGCCACCCCGTTGAAAATCTGTTTGTACCCTGCTGGCCAAAAAGGTGAAATATCGAGAGATTTTGACAATAACGGGTAAAATTAGGATCAAGCACACAGCATAGAAGAATATGACAACAAATCATACATGAAATGAAAAAAACTGATGTGTGCGAAATGATACCTCAATATCAGCATCATCCAGCACACTGGAGGTACATGTTGTCCCATCAGGAACAGCCTCTAAGAACTTTGCTTCTCTGTCTGATACCTTCAGTGCATTTCGACCAATCACATTGGTGTGTTTCCTCCGCTTTGTCTGCATGACAGACAAGGCTGTACTTTTTGTGGTTGAGTTGATTTCAAATATTGTCTGAAAATTTAGATAATTTTTAAATAATCAACTGAAACAATCGCTAATTTCATTGCACCACAATGAGATTTTTAACTGATTTATATAGGAATAAAATAATAAAGGATAAGAAATGATGACCCATTCTAAGATTAGATGATGTATGTACATGTTCATGAAATGAGTAATGAGTATGCAGGAATAAGTTAAAAATCAATCAATCAATACATATATTTGGCTTCTAAAGTATAAGTATGTATAAGTACAACATGAATCAATGTATGAAATTCTAGGAAGCTTACAGTATTTGGTTTGTATGATTTCATCTTGTGTAGCAAGTCAGATCTGGCATCCTCAAGGACATTTGAACCTGTAATAGACACAATGATCAAAAATACTAAAAATGTAAATAAATTAAATCAAATGTTGAACGAACAAACAAACAATTTGATTGAGCATTTCAATATTTTAATTGCATTTATGTTAAAGATTCAGTTGCACATACCCAAATTTGAAAATATCTCTCTAGGCCTACTGCTTACTGAATAATTGATATAAAATATTTTAGTTTCATATCTCAACAAATACCAACTATGAACACAACAATGATTTCATTCTTAGTGACAAAGGTGTTGCTACACAATTGGGTTTTAACCTCTTAAATCCCAGGCTTTAACATTTGTGTGAAACCAGAGAATTTTTCATTTTTGCCAGCTTTTGATATTTTACTACATACATAATACAACACGTGATGCTCAAATTAATGAAATAAGTCGCCAGAGATCATTTCTACACATTTCAAAAGTTATTTTGTGTAAATTGGATGGAATTTGTTCAAATTAGAGCAATTTTAATGAAACATTTTGTGACAGATTATCTTGTCAATCTGGGTTTCAAGGTCAGCTCTTAGGTCCCTCTGGGTAGTCAAGAGGTTAAAGTATATCAGTAGGTAAATAAAAACAACGCACCAAACATAGGGTGCTGACCAAGTGCTAAAGCTTGCATTTCCTTTGTGCGTTTGATGGACTCTGAGGCAGCTGCTGGTCGGGATCTCAAGTACTGTTTGTAACCATTCTCTGACACTTGCTTTAGGTTTTTCTAAAAGAAAACCAAGTGTTGGCTAAAGCTAAGTTCACACCAATGGCACTTTGATGGCGCTTTAAAGCGCCGTGCAATGCGGCTTTGCGTGCCACTTGAAAGCGTCATCAAAGCGCCGTTGTGTGAACTTAGCTTTAGAAACCTTTTAAATATATACAGTAAAATCTGTATTTCCATACACTTCTTTAAAAAAACACTAGTTGGTCATATTTTTCTCGACCATTAAATCATTTATAATCATTAAAGCATAAATCGGAATCATTTCTCACTAGTTATTGACATTTCTTGATTGTGATTAATAAAAATCAAGGATGAAATCCTAAGTTTAAAGGGCTGATGGGAAAAAGTCAGTCCACCCCAATGGGGATTGAACCCATGATCCCTTACTTCCAAGACAAATGCTCTACCACTGAGCTACGGGATAGATTGATTAGATTAAAATGAGCTTTTTTACCAAGTACATGTACTTTACTTACCAGATCTACTGATGTGCTGGTTATCTGAGTAATCTTCTCTTGGTGTTCATCAAGTGTCACCTGTGGCATCATCCCATAGACTCCATCTTCATCTGAATCACAAATAGATACATCAAAGAGTCATAAAAGAGTACTGTCAAAAATGTTCATGTGAATGGTTTGGCAATTTCATAATAATTGGCATATCTATTACATTTCTTGCAAAATTATGTGAGGTTGAGAACACATTATATTTTATCTATTATTTTAAAGTATTATCATTAAAAACAGAAATCAATCACTTATTGGTTTGATAATTTTGTGTCTTATACAGGGTGAGCCTAAAATGGTACTTTACTATAGTAGTGTACAATCAGAATGGATAACATTTTTGACCAACCCTGTAACAGGTGAGGGATTTATTTAAATATTTTGTTAGTTAAGTAATAAGTATGGATATTTGCAAAAAAATGAAACTACATTTACATGTATTTAGTCATTGATGGAATGATGGGAACAACATTTATGTATATTTACTCATTGATGGAATGTTAACTGATATACGTACCTTTCAGTGGTTTTGCGGGTGTAGTGACTTTCATTGGCCTGCCTAAAAACAGATGTAGGTCTATCACATAGGCCAGTTCATCTATAGAGACAAGTGAGTAGGCTATACCAGACTGGCCAGCTCTTGCAACACGACCTAGGATGCAATACCAAACATATGTGTTAGTAATGTCATGCTATAAAAAATCAATCATAATTTCAACCATTGTACAATCAATCTTCCAACAATAAGTTAAGTATTTTAAACCAAATGTATCAAACCATTGAAATAAAATCAATAGATTGCAGCCATAACAATTCACGAAGAATTTGACTTCAATCCATTTATAATTGAACATCTCAGCATCAGATTGACAATGTAAAACAGGGTGTGTCATATGGATTTTAGAAATGCTGGTGAAATATGAACTATGGAGCAGTTGTTATGTTATTTTCCTATACATGATTTAAAGGTAAGCTAGTCCAAACCAAAAGAAACACTGGACCAGGTTCAGGAGCTCTGGACCAGGAGTTATTCTGAACTCAGTAACACTTACCGACTCTATGAACAAATAGCTTAGGTTTTGCAGGAAAGTTATAATTGATGACACAATCTAACATGGGGATATCTATTCCTCTAGCAGCAAGATCTGTAACTAACATCACTGATGTCTTCTTATTTGTGAATTTTGCAACATTTATTTTTCTCGCAGTCTGGTCCAGTGAACTGTATGTGTATGAGCACTTTATATCAGATGCTTCAAGTAACTGAAAAGAAATCAATATATCGATATAAATAAAATCAAAATAAAACCATCTTACTGAACACTTTACTCTGGTGAACACCTGAGTTTAGTGAACACCACTTCAAGACACACTTTACATTGACTGTATAAAATCCCCTCTCTGTAGTGAACACCTTCCTACAGTGAACACTTTTTTTGTAGTTTCATAGGTGTTCAATTTTACTGCATATGTTCCTATGGAGAGAGTGTATATTAATTGGGTTCATCCTGATTGTTCATCTATTCATGAGGAACTTGGCTGATCAAAGAAAGACATCATATTATCCACAAGGATGACCCTCATATCGATACAATCCCAAACGGGGAATGACCTTTTTAACCTCTTTTTGTAATTATGATTAATATGATATTCAAAATCATAATTTCACATGTAAAGAATAGAATGTTGTATTCCAGATTGAAACATTATAACATTTGTTCTATTTATTCAATAATTTTCCATGATAAATTGAAATGTTTCTGAGGGACTCAGTTTAATTATCCTGAGCCTTCCTAAGTCAACTGGTCCCCACATTTATGTTTTGTTTAGAGAAGCATTGGACTGGGGATGGATATATAGGGGCAACTTATGATTATTACATAATGTTAAGAATAGATTGATTAATGTAGAAGTTCAGTGAAGAAATAACTTTTTGTGACATTTTGAACTTTGAGCAAGTGTCAAGTCATCTTGACTTAGTCTAATAGAGGTATGTATGTGGCTTAAGGTAAATGTGAACTTACGGCCTGGAGGTACTCTACGTGATGCTTTGTGGCCACAAAGACTACAGTCTGCTGTTTTGGTTTCAGGACATTCTTCAATAGGTAAAGAAGGGCAGATGCTTTATCATCATTCCGACATTGCAAAAAGGACATCTATAATGAAAAAATATTTATTTTCTGCTTATTACTGTAAATATATTGCCATAATAATAGATTCTTGGTAACTGCTCAACAAATAAGAAATAACAAAAATAGTACAAACAAATAAGAATATTCAAGAAAAAGTCTAATGCAAATCCTTGCAATAATTCAAGTTATTGCTCAAAAAGATAAATAGACAAATCATTAGGCAAATGGGACAGTGTCTGATTGCAATACTTCACCTTGTGAGCATGGGGTCTACTTACTTTTAGTTGTTCACTCAGTTTTGTGTCAACATCCAGCCTAATGAGGGTGGGATTGTGTAGTCCAGCCCTTGCAAACTCTACCATAAGTTTAGGAAGGGTAGCAGAGAACAGTAAAGTCTGGCGAGATTCTGGCAACCTAGCTATTATCTCTTTCAACTGTTCTTGGAAACCCATTTCAAATAACCTGTTCATAAAAATCCCAAGTTATTGAAAAAGTCAAGATGTGAATGGAAATGGAAGTCATTTATGTCGGAAAATATTAACGATGGAAATGTACCACACAGGAAGATTTCAATAATTGTTAAGTCTAATGATAACTACATTTTCCTGACACACTGAAATCAAGAAATTAAGGAAAACTTCATAATTTGAGCTCACCTATCTGCCTCATCAAAGACTATGTACTCAACCTCATGTAGTTTAAGGTCCATCTCAACTACTACATGCATGAATCGACCTGGTGTTGCTATGATACTGAAATTGAAAAACAAGATGTTAATAAGCAATATACATACACTGCAGTACATTCAATACCTCTTATCCTTATCAACATACTGTTTTACTTTTTATTTTCAGCTTTTTCTAGGGAGGGGAGGGGGGTTGTATAAAGATGTTGAGTGTTGCTAGTGACAATTGTGTAAGAAAGTTTACTTTTTCTTTTTGAAAAGCTTATAACAGCCTTGGAGTAAACACAAAGCACACCCTTTAACACTTTAACATATACTGTTCAATAAACAGTATATACTATGCACATGTATATCAATTACATTTTAGAAACAAAAAAAATTGAGTAGGCATGCCCAGATATCATTTGATCATTTGAAGTGACATCACACTCATTACTTACATGTCAGGGTTCTCATGCAGAGCAGTGAATTGGTCTTCCATTCTATCACCACCAAGTATTACAGCTGCACGTAGACCAGAAAATCTCCCCAACTGAAAATCAGAATCAGTGAGACTAAAATGTACAATGCGTTCATGCACAATGTGCTATAACATCTGAATCTTTGATATTGTATTTGGATTTCACTGCTTTTCCATTATACTATTTTGAATTAAATACTGTTGAAGACACAGTACTGTTTGTTATCCTGAGTGACAGAATCTAAAACATATTTACAATATAATTAAGGCACCTTTATAAGGACCTACCCATAAACAGTACGTACAGTATATGTATAAATATATAGATAAAAAATACATGTAGTAATACTGATCAGAAAATGATCAATACAGTCTGGAACCTAAATTACCTCTTTTGTAAATTTAAGAGTCTGCAGAGCCAGCTCTCTCGTAGGAGACATGATAATGGCACGGGCTCCAGATTTTGCGCTGTGTTGTTTTAGTTTCTCAAACATTGGCAGAAGGAAAGCAGCTGTCTTTCCACTCCCTGTTCTTGCCATAGCAACCACATCCTTACCCTCTAGTATAAGTGGAATTGTCTGAAAGTGCATGGGTGTTTGTTTTATTCAAAATTATAGTATTCAAACACCTGTCTAATCTGAACATTTCTCAAGGTGAATGCTTCATTTTTTGTCTCATTTTTAACCTGCCGTAGACTTCCATTCTAGAAGAACTGGAAATATGAGAATTGCCACTTTTTGTTGGTAACAATGGTGTTGTATTAGACAGGTTTCAGTGCAGTTATAAAGTTCTACTATGCACTCGACTGTTGTGTTTGTATCAATGTATTGTATAAGATTATGAAATGGGCCATTATACAATGAACAAAAAGCTAACCTGCTCGACCAGTAATCAAGCATTCAGTGTGGTGTACCCATAAGAGGTTTTATGCAATGGAATACATGATCAACTTACTTTTCTTTGTATAGGAGTTGGTATCTTATATCCTGTTCTTGTGATACCTTTGAAAACTGCATGCGATAGGCCTGAAAACAATGATTAATAATACAATATCATATAAATCAAATAAGTGTTTCTCATTTCAGAAAACAATTGTACTTGCAAACCTTTACTTGGGTTTAATCCATATTACACAGCTGTCTATAAGAAAAATGTGGGGTACATATTTCCGATTGATTGAAATATTTTCACTCTCTTCCCGTCTCAACAACTGAACAACCCCGCATTTGAAGAAATATGTGCATACGGAAAGTACATCCTGTTATCAGGGTCTCAAGATCCAGAATACTTTCTTAGCAAAGACAATGAAAGATGGAGGAACAGATTTTGTACACCTGCTAAGGAGTCTGAGAAGGTAATACAGTAGACTTAAATATTAGAAGAGGCAAAATGCCCTAGCTGTTGAATTAATCACAGATACACTATATCACATACCCATAGCCTGGAATCCACCAGATTTTTTCTTCTTCCTGTTCTGTTGAGCAACCATTTTACGAGTGTCATTGGCAAATTCCTCATCTGAGTCTGCTGCATTGTCATGCGAATCCTGAAAAGTAGTGACCATTAAAAAATGGTTGTGTCCTCCCAATTCATTGAGCAAATACCACCACCCTCTTTGTTACTAATATTGTAATGGATTATACTAAAAAGTCCCATTAGCCTATTGGAATGAAATGTTTGTTAATGACTGTGGATCAAAAAAAAAAAAAATGTTAAGTTTTATCTCATTCAAATGCCGTTCTCTCTTGCATTCCGCCACTTAGAATCAATTCTGATTTTGTTGACCAGATATTCTCACTTTTCAGAAACATGTTACACCATGGAAGCAAACAGCCTTGTATTGGAAAGGCTAGAGGGAGTATATTAGAGGTTACTCGAGTCTCCAGCCAATTTACTTGGCTAGAAGACATCTCATGTGGACCATCGTGCACTGATGGAAAAGTTTATTCGGGAGAAAAATAAATTTAGATGTTACTTTGAAAATCTAAATTAGAATATTTTATCAATTAGAATTTAAGATCAGGGTGCACTTTGATGAAATGTCATGACCATGTGCTATTTTCAGATAAACACAACTCATTCCACACACCATCTACATCTTTCATTCTTGCACAAAAGATGCATTAGTGTACCTCGACTATTAATTGAGGGTTGATAATTCTTCAGAATGTTTGAATAACTAGAATATTCAGTGGCTTACTTTTCAAAATTGCAAAAAAAATTCAAAGTGCACCCTGACCTTATCAAGTAAACACTGTCCTTTGTGAGATATTGCATGCTATCATCCAAGTTTAATCTAAATAACTGGTTGTAAATTCAAAATGGCAATCCAAAAGACTTGAACTAATATATTGATCACTTCTAGTCTGTTTTGCAATCTTTTAAAAGTAAGGCCAAAACCAGTGATTCAAATTCTAAATGAAAAATGGCAGCCATTTGTCTTTGAATTTTGTATTCACAACACTACCTTGACATGACTTCATAACGGCAGAATATGGCAACAATCAAATGCGGTGATAAAAATGCTCTAACTGGCTCCAAAGAGATAATAATGGCATAGTTGAATATATGAACTAACATTACATACGGAGATCAATGAATGTTGATTATATTTCTTTTGAAGAATATCAATCGTCCATCAGAGGAGGTGGGTACAACTGCAGCCACTGTTCGGTACACGAAACGCCCGCGGGTGTTTTGTGTACCGGCGGGTGTTTTGTGTACCGTATTATTTACTCCTTAAAGTGCAATTTTAAAGGCACATTTTGTGTGTATCATAAAAAATTACAATTCATATGATCAAAACGACTAACATAGACTCCTCCTACTTGCAAAATATGCCACTTAATGCATAAAATACAAGTCCTTTCAAAGAATTTAAATAAATGCCATTACTGCCTTATTGAAAGTCATGTTAAATAAATTGATTATCTGGAATAGTACAGAATATTTAAAGAGAGAAGCTTCAAATAAAAAGCCTTTTAAACCAATCTATTATCTCCTTCATTTTATATTTTGTATTGGTTAATTGGTTAATCTGTTAATGTTGTTATGTAATCCGGTTATGTACTAGTATTTAAACTGCTTTGCTTGAATTAAATGGGCATATGTAGTATCATGGCGGGGGTCCATTGCCATTAGCCAGTGGTGTGCAGTAAGTGGAAAGCAAACTCAATTATAATGAACATAAATGTCATATATTTTCTTAATTTTTTTATTTTTATTTGGGGGGGGGGGGGGTGTCAATTTAATCAAACAGTCTCCCATTTAAAATTTAACACAATGAATAGGCCTAACATTTACAAACATCTTTATAGATTAGTTATGTTATATTTGATAATTATCACACACAATGAATAACACTTATAAAATATATTTATATTTTACTTACACTCCCCTCCATAAGTTTGGCAACCTTAGCTCCCTCATTGAACTACATGTTAAAGCCAATTTATATTTGAATTTTTATTTTCTTAACCTGCCATGAAAATACTTGTTTTATTGCTGAAAACTTAACTTGGCCACATTTCCAATGCCATCAAATTTTTCCAATTTTTTCCTCAATTACTATAGGTTGAAAATTCATGATAAATTTGATGAATTTTTGAAACTCGTCGTTCCCATGTAAACCAATGGGAAATGGTGGGTTCGCAAATCAGAAATGAGGATACAGTATTTATTCAGTAAAAAATTAAACAAAAATACTATAGAAAATTGATTTGTGTAACTTTTTTGTACTCTAAGTTTTTGCCTTTTATTTTAGGCACTATAAAATCGATGTCGCCTGTTCTGCATTCTATGATCCTACACACATATTTCATTCTATTCGATGTGCTATTATTTTATGCACTGTAAGATAGATGTCGCCGTAATTGCATTCTATGATCATACATACACATTAATTCTATTCTATTCTACAAAAATAGTGCACACATAATCCTGTGCATTTAGCCTATTGAAGATTTAACTTATAAAATAATGAAGTGGCTTACAAAAATATGGTAAAGTTATAAAATAATAAATAACACATGCCTCTTATACAATTTGGCATGTTCCTCACAATACAATGTACAAAAAATTGCACTCTAAGGAGTAAATAACACGGTACACAAAACACCCGCTGGTACACAGTTGCAGTACACAGTTGCTGCAGTTGTACGCATATGCATCAGAGGTAGCATAGAGATTAAGAAAACAAATCAGGTTTCATGATCATCGTCAGACCGTCACCATGGTGCAGCTCCACAGATAGCAGAATTTTTCTTATGAAATACATCCTAAATAATTGTATTTCTTTAGGATGTATTTTCTTAGAAAAATTCTGCCATCTGTATGCAGCTCAGAATAAGATAAAGTAGAGCTATGTAAATCAACATAATATATAGATTATCTAACGAATTAAATAAAATTTACCTTTTCTTGAGATCCATGATTTGCTCCAGTACTTGTAGACTGGGAAAATCCCTGATTTACTTTTTTATTTTTATTAAATTTGGGTGATTTTTTAGTTTTTTGACCGCGTTTCTTGTTTGGTCCTTTAGTTTTCCCCATTGTAATGACAATTATAAGTTCGTAAAGTAAAACAATGTGTAGATTCCCCAATACAATTCTTAAAGAAGCAAGGAAATACGATTTAAACAAAAATATGCTTCGCACGTTCAAAACATGGAGGTCGCCATTTTGAAAATATTGACTTCCGTTTCCGATTCAAGATTGATCAATTTTAGTGTAACGCTTATCTCATTGCAGTACGTAAAGATTCAGTATTAGCGTAACGATTTGAGTTTATTGATTAAAAAATCAGATCACTATCTTATTTTGAATCATTTCGGAAGGACTCTTCAATAAAATACATTTTTTTCTTTAGAATGATCAGTCCCTTCTTGTCACGTGATATTTTGATGCACGAATTTTAAAGAGGTGAATTTGGATAAGTTTCCTAGTTTTGTTGATCTTCTCCTCGTCTGGAGTGAAATATGAATGTAAGTGAAAATAAACTATATTGTTGAACAGGTCTTTCATGTATGTGTTTACTAAACAGTACTAAATTTCTTTACTCTGTCTCATGCCATGGAAATTATTGAATCAGTGAATGTTCATTCAACTGTTCAATGATTTTGCCCCAAGGGTCTGCTCTTTGCATTCGTTAGACGGTGAACACCGCCTCTAATGCGTTGGATTGTCGTATGGACTTGCACGATCCAACACGGCCAACACGATCCTCAGAGACCCAGAGCGTGAATGAATGCACCTATGCATTCGTTCGACTTTGCTTCTCAAAAGATAGTTTCATCTTCACTCTTTATCTTAAAAAATAATTCATACCTCAATCTTACTATTCCAGCCAGATAATCACGGACTTGATTCAATATGTTCTTTGAAACGTCCTTATTTCCTGTACTAAGGCTCTATAACAGGGGTGTCAGAAGGATTTGCCAAGGGAGGTGGCGACTTTTTGGTATGGATGGGTCACGCGTGAAGTGCACCGCACGCGAAATGCAATCTAGGGGGGTCAGAGGGCGTGCTCCCCGCGTGACCCTCTCTGGTTCATTCTGAACTAATCTCAGCAAAATATTCCCAAGAAAACTTAACTTGACTTTGACTAAAAAACTTAGTTTTTGATAGCAATATTTGCGTATAATATTTAACTTATTTCAACCGTCAAATTCCTCCATTCAGTTCCCGGCATGCACCAGTCATAAGGGAAATCCCATGGGAATTCCCCTTCCGACATTTTGAAAATTGCTGATATATTTCCGATGTCAAAACTAAAATCTCTTCGTTCTGCCGATAAACCCATACAATTGGCGATCTAACAACATAAAAAGAATTCTAAAATACTAAGGAATGTATCGAGGTAGGTCATTTAGGTGTGCAATGCGTAGTATTTTCTCCAACTTTGTAAAAACATTGACTGACCAATTATACGCGCGTATGACCACAATCTAAAGGGGTCGTAGGATGCGATAAATGTAGCCTATATATACTGACATAGAATCATTTCTGTCATTATTACACATTGACTTTAATTAGCTCTAGAGCTTTCAATTCTAGGCTAGGTCGAAATCTAAAAAAAGTCAGGGAAAGGGGGAGGGGCGGTCACCCCCAATGCCCTCCCCCTTCTGACGCCAATGTATAATTTACATATTTAACTATATCAGCTTTGTTTTGTCAACCATGAAGTATAAACGCTTAGGAATTTATCTAAAAAACAAATTATATATAACATTATATAGGGGGCAGAGTTCCATGTATCTTCTAAACAAATTCCAATATAAATGAGTTGTCTGCTGCATTAGTTTGTTGATACAGTAAGCAGCTGACAGTAAGGCATGGAGCCCAGTTATCAACAGTCATGGAAAAATGAAGATAATTTAGTCATGGTTTGCCTCCCTCCGCTCTTCTAATATTTAACTTTAAAATGTTGATTTGTCTTTTACTTGAATATTGAAAAAATCAACACTCTTCATTTAACCATGAGCTTTCAATAGATTGAATGCCCATGATTTAACAAAATCATAATTTACTTCTTTATGCCACAATAGTTGATAAATGGGCACCATCCTTATGACCCGTTGTTGATGCTCTAAGACTAAAATATTGAAGAATCACTGAACTATGACATGTAAAATCTATGAACCAAGAATTGGATTTTGCGTATGTTCAGTAATTCAGTAATTCTTCATACTGAGACTTCTGGAACTTATCAGGAAAAAATTAGTTTTGACATTCAATTTATTTTTCACTTGGATATTGTGCTTATGCTTCATGGTTGACAAAACAAAGATGATATGATTAAATGTATGTATTGAATGTATTCTAAAAAATGCTAGGTAAATGGCAGTTCATTTCAAGTGCATCTCGTACACTATAATATATTTATCCCCTTATTTTAAATGTATGGGAGAGGGGCAAATTTTAGATACCCAAATTTTCATGTGTCATTGAGAATCAAATCAGCATATTGTTAATGAGATATTCTGAAGTTAAAAAATGAAAAGGTATTTTTTTGAACCTAGGGGCATTAAAAACTCTTATTTCACTAACTGTTTTTCATAAGATGATTCCAAATGTAGCTTGCAGATGAAGCATATTAACCAAATCAAACTGCAATTGTTTTTGTATCAATAATATACCAATCATATAAACTGGGATATTTAGGCAGCCAGCCAAATCGATTTTAATTTTAGAAATTTTTCCATGATCTTGGTAAGCAGAAACGAGACTACTTTTTGTGTTATTTTAATTGATTAATATAAGCATGGGCTTTCAATTAGATATAAGCTAAAGCTTTTACTGGGATTATGTAATGTTAAATTACATGTAGTATATCTATATAGGCTTGAGTATAGTTTTGAATGAATGTTAACACAAAATGACAGACTGTAAAAATATGCAAAAAGTTAAAATATTTGATCACCACCAATTTATTGCATAGAATGGTACTATGTAATATACCACAGTGCCCTAATAATTATGTATTCTAAAAATGCATTCAAAGTTCAAGGCTGAAGATTAATAATTAGAAAAATTTGAGGCCCTTTTTTGACAATTTGGCCTAAAATTAAAAGATAAGGCCAAAAAGGCCTAATTGAGGCCTTACAAATTTTTGGGGTTCAAAAGTTTTCTGGACCCACCCCAGGGGAGGGGGGCTTGGGCCCCATGAGCCTCTCTGGATCTGCCATTGGCTTACCTACATGTATGCCTATTTTAAAGCCTTGAAACCCAATTTAATACAGGAGTCAACCTTAAGGCATTTTATCTACTTACATTTTCAACAGCAATTTATTACCTAGAACTGATGACAGATTAAGCGGTTTTAATTAGAAATAATGACCTGTCCAAAAAACATTTTATTTGTTGAGTGATGAGGTTCACATGGGGAGTTATCAGCAAGGCCTGGTCGTGATCTTCATAAAAGAAAATATTTACTGTTATTTTAACCTTTTACAAAAAATTCTACAGTTTAAAACTACTTTTAGGCCACCAACAGTACCATGTATGTATGTTACTAAATCTGAAAACATAAACAAGCAAAAAACATCAATCTAAAACAACTAAAGATAAACAGCCTTCAAAATTTAGATTGGTTGATCTATACTTTTCCTCAAAAATTATTGTAGGAATTTTAATCATACCATCCCACTCTAGACTGTTTTTGAATGAAATATCTCTCATTCTAACATTTCATTGGGTATTTACATGAACATAGATGGTTTTTTCCAAATCTATCCAGTTGCAATGTTTATTTTTTGACTCTCGGGATGTTCTTGTTACATAATGTACATATTATTTCTTCAAATCCTAATAATATTTTATCTTATTCTACTGCAAACAACAAAAAGGAGACAAAAAAGCCCTTTTCTTTGGCCTTTGCTGTTAATGAATTTTGACCTAGATGATAGATCTTCTAATTAGTAAGTGGCCTATCACATTTCCTTGTCCAAATCAATTTGAAGAATCTGGAATATGTTAGAACTCTGACAAACTACAATTATATTGAAATATTCACTTATCAGGTACTTCTAAGGTCAAAAAGACACCAAGCTAATTGAACTAAAAACTAATTCTGAAGTTAATGGACCAGAACACACATTTCCTTAAAATACTTTTGAAAGAAACACAGTTTTATGGGTCCAGTTTTATGTCTCAGAAAATGCTTATAAATGGTTCTAGTTGAGAATTATCCAAATGTTTGTCATACAGTGTAATAAGTGGACATTGACCACATTTTTGGCTTTGTGTTTCTACCAAGGACAACTGGGAGTTTCTGAATCTAATCAAGGTAGGTTTCCGTTTGAAATGTGACATACATGTAGAATATAGTATAGTTTAGCTTATGGCTATTAGAGTTGTATTAATTAAGTTAAATGATTAAATATGCTGAAATGCCAAGGTTAAAACATAAACATTAGAGTCTGTTTTATAGTTTTATATTTGTTCATTATTAATATATGACAAAAATAATCATTTGTAACAAAAAACAATCATTAATTATTAAATCACCTGTAATCAATAAGTGGATATTATAAAGTGCATGTGGCAAACTTACTGTTGAGAAAAGAATTATTGGTAACTAGAATCATTTTTATTTCTTTTCTTTAAGAATAAGAGTCATAATTCTTGAAATTAAATCATTTTTTCTCCTCAACAAATCTCTATTTTTTGACTTGTATTCCAAATAGACTAAATGTGTATAAGGCAAAACACTTTCTATATGCTTTAAATGGCTATATAAAAATGATATGCTAACACCAAATACATTTTTAAATTAAGACAATTAAGGCATTAGCTATTCCTCCTGGTCTGATTGCCATGATATCATATTTTTTTAATTATAGAATTTAATTTATTTCCAGATGGTGGTTGTCCTGGAAACATTATATTCCTCATTGATGCCTCCTCAGATGTTGACCCTTATTATTTCTCGGAGCTTCTTGCTTTTACTCTATCTCTGGTGCAAAATATTCGTGGCACAGATTTCCCTAGTCAACACAGTCTCCATGGATACAATGAGCCCAGCCAAGAAAATGGGCACAATCATCATGAGCACAACCACAATGGGAACAACCAACATGTGCAAAACCAGCATGGGCACAACCACCATGGACCCAATGAATTTCGGCACAATCAAGATGTGCAGAATCACCATGAACACAACAAGCATGGGCATGGAAACAACCAACATGGGCACAATCAGCAGAGAGACAATGAACACAAGCAACATGGAGACATTAAACATGACCATTCTCCACGTCAAAATAAGCAGAACCAAAATAGAAAGACTGTGCATCAAGATGGAAACAACCCAAACAACAAACACAGGCACAATCAACACAGGAATATATCGCAAAACATTCTTTTAACAAAAGATCAATATGAAAATTGGAATGAGCAATACAATATCCTAGAAACATCGGAACATGGTGTACTTTCAAATGGAATTGATGCTCCGTTGAATGTACCCAATGATGAGTCTTGGAAATATGATTCAAAGGAGGATCAAAATGTTGTGAAGGATTACCAGCATGACGAGGCCCTTCATTTGGATGAACGATTTCGTATAAGATATGCAATATCTGTTATGAGTTTTGCAGCAGATGTGAAAGTACATTTACAGGTAAGCGTGCAAATAGGGCTCTAAAATGCATTGAGTTCCCCAGTGTTGAAGCAAGTTTAAAGTTTGAGAATTATCTCAATTTATATAGACTCAAAAAGTAAAAAACATTTTCGTTATTGAATCCCTGATCTGACTAAACCATCACATAAAGAATCTTATATTAAGAGGTGTATATGCACCATAATACAATTTAACCATCTATTCTGAACTTTTCATTTTTGACAGGAAAACACAGAGGTTTCAATGGAGAGAATCATGGAAAAGATCTTCTCTATCTCATATAGAGGTCATGAGGGTGGTCGCCTTGGTGATGCTTTAAGGAAACTCCAGGATGTTGGTCCAATCAGACAAGGTAATTTTATATGTCTGGGTTTTAGACCTTTGTTTTGAGGCAAGGTAATTAGGTACCACATCTCAGTTGAGGTATTTCATATTACAATGCCAGAATTAATGTCAGAAAATCATCAAAACTTGCTCTAAATTGTTTTAAATACTATTTTACAGTTTCGACATAAGGCAGGCACCATTTGATAAAAAAGAAAAGTGAAAACACCCAAACTAATTTTTTATCCTTTAGAAAGTGCAAAATGTTATCAAACTCATATGACCCCATAGAGAATAGGGGCTTGGGTGTCAAGTAAAAGTTGTAGAAGTGTATATCTTTCTGCAAACATTCTAAATTTTAAGATTTTTTTAGTAGTTGGAAAAAAGAAGTTGCAATTTACAAAACACGATTCTAAAACAACATCTAATTGGTTCTTTAATAATTCTCCAACTCCATATATCTTTTAATAGTAGCAAAAAGGTATGGTGGGATGTGTAGGCGTACATTCCATTTGGAAGATGTTTTTAATGTCAGCTAATATCATGATGGGTAAAAAAGATCATCTTTCCATCACCTTCCCTTATCAACCGAGGCTCACCATGCCATGTGGTTTAAATCATGGGTTAAAACTTGCTTGACTGCATGGGGATTATCACTTGTGTAAGAACAATGTATTTTACCATTACCCGACCAGGAACCTATCCAGAATGAAAATCTATTTTGCCTCAAAATAAATTCTATGTTTATTCTTTTAGAGCTCTTGCAAATAATCATCTAAAGATAGAATAGATTAATTCTGATTTTGGCTTTTTAGGGGGATTGATCGTTTTGATAACACCGATAACAAAAGAGAAAATATCAGTACTCTCACGACTGAAGAATGTTGTTAACTTGCCACACCATATCCTAACGGTAGCTATTAAGACTCCAATCTCTGATGATACTCTTCATGATTGGCTAGATGAAGATGAGAAGACAGTACTTGTTCCCAGTTACAGGGATCTTAAAGGCTTTGAAGCATACACATCTGGTTTTATATGCCATGGTAAGCAATGAATGAGTCGTGAATAAATATGGCCATATTTACCTGTAGTGATTTAGTATGAGAAACAACTATATTCTATTAACCTTTCCCACCAAAATGAAATTTACATATTACATGTAGGTTCATTCTTTCAGAGCTTAGAAATCTGCAAGATGCAACTAGTCAAAATAGGAATCACAACAGCAACAGAAATCCTGTTTATAAGCATGATAATGTCAATACAAAACCATTGACACGTGTAGATGAACTAGAACATGTCAGTGTTAACAATCCGGGACCCTTAGATGAAGCAAATTATGTTGGTACAAACACACTGACCCACCTAAATCATGTTGATATAAAGTCACTTAACCCCATACATGAACCAAATAATGTCGATACAAACACACTGGATGCCATCGATAAGCTAGATTTTGTGGATACAAATATTCTTGGCTCAATAGATGAACTAGATCATGTCAATACAAAGATGTTGGAGTCCATAGATAAAGTAGATCTTCTCCATACAAACATTGGGAACCCAATAGATGACCTTGATGATGTAGATACAAACACACGCATTGATGAACTGGATAATGTTGATGCAAACACAATGGACCCCCTAGATGAACTAGATCATGTCGTTACTAGCAAATGGCTAGATGAACTGGATCACGTCCATCCAAACAAGTCAGCCCCCCCAGATGGACTAGATTATACCAGCGCATACACAGAGGGTGCTGTCAGTGCAATCACACCAGGACCAGAATCCAATGCTGATACCATTTATTTCAGTCTAGGTAAATCCTTATTTTTATCTCAGTATTAGTCTCACAAGTTTACAAAACATATCACAACTGAAAAATCAACATGATCAAAATCAACAATCCATACATTAGAAGGCACAAGAGGTAACATATTAAAAACACAAATACATCAGAAGGCACAAGAGGTAACATGTCAAAGAAGGAACAAGAGGTAACATATTAAAAACACGAATACATCCATACGCCACAAGAGGTAACATGTTAAAAACACAAATACATCAGAAGGCACAAGAGGTAACATATTTAAAACACAAATACATCCATACAACAGAAGGCACAAGAGGTAACATATTAAAAACACAAATACATCAGAAGGCACAAGAGGTAACATGTCAAAGACACAGAAGGAACAAGAGGTAACATATTAAAAACACGAATACATCCATACGCCACAAGAGGTAACATGTTAAAAACACAAATACATCAGAAGGCACAAGAGGTAACATATTTAAAACACAAATACATCCATACAACAGAAGGCACAAGAGGTAACATATTAAAAACACAAATATATCAGAAGGCACAAGAGGTAACATATTTAAAACACAAATACATCCATACAGCAGAAGGCACAAGAGGTAACATGTTAACAGCACAAATACACAGAATTCCAAATAAAGCACATCAACCAAACAACAAAGCCGAAAAACAAGATATAGCTCTAAGCTATGTAAATCATAAAAACATGAAGGCAAATTACATTATACAAGTTCATATCAAAACATCCAGAATCATCTCAAATAGAAAAAATACTGATAACAAAACCTCATATATACTTACATAGAGCAATCCACAAGAGTTCAAGCCAAAAATAAATCAAATTCTTTTTGTTGAGATGCAATGCACTTATTTTTCTTTATTGCAATTGATGGTTTATCTCAACAAACCAAAAAGGTTTAGTTGGGATATAGTAAGGCCTCAGTCTGTCCATCTGTTTGTCTAAGAAATTACCCAATACTATACAGTAGTAGATTGATTTGGCCATTTTTCTTGTCAAAATGGCCAATTTATAAAAATTCACTACCCCAATGGAAACTTCAAAGTTTGGCTATATTATACTTTTAGAGTAGATCGCAAATAATGTATCTCTTCTGAGCTTTGGCTTTAGAAATTTAAAATGGCCACTCATATGTTAAATTGGTTTAGTTATCTCCCGTATGTGCCTTTTTATTGGTAAATGGTATATTATGGCATATTCCAGATTCATGAATCTGTAACTCAAATTTAGGTACGAGTATATTTCATAATGACATTGTCTTTTAGATTCCTTTAAAGAAAATTTCCCTTAAAACAAAGAAATGAGGAATTTTGGAAATTGCCTATAATGAATTGAAAAAAACCTTTTTGGAATTACATATTTCATAAGATACAACTACAGCTGTGCTGTAATATATCCCTGCCTTTTGCTTTTTATTCACCAGATGGTATCATCTAGATGATTAGTTCATAGATATCCATTTATTTAAATTCAAAATATGATTAGGTGATTTGTTAGTCCAGTGTAATATTTATAGGTCCAATGGTGACCATAACCCGCAGTACTTCAATGTAGACAGACATGAATACCATGTAATGGACAGAGCAATTTATTTTTGGAATTTGATTATTTTCTTTACTTTTTCAACCACAATGACACCCAATACTTTGTTTGAGAAAAAAATCAGTTCTTGCTTCCATTTAACTGAGGAAAAAACTTACATTTTCCCTCTAGAAATCTGTGATATTTGCCATTTGATCTCTGGGAACCAAATATTCTACATCTATATAGGAATCGGCACAAGGGATTTAGTCTGCAGTCGTAGAAGTTTTCATGTTTGCCTTGAGTGTTTTATGTCTCTGGAGTTGAGTGACATTGCAGTGTTTTAACACTTTAAGAACAAAAGTTTAAATGCAGCCAAGATTCAGAGCTTTAACATTATGTAATTGGAACTGTGTATAACATAGGTTATCACATATTTTAGACCTTTTACATTAAGTTATGCTACTTTTCTTTATCATTTGATAAACATAGGTAGTATTTGAGCTCAAAAAGATAAGATAGTTATCAAGATATCTGGCTATAAAAACTTTTTACACATGATGAATTAGACAATTTTGGAAAGTTGGTATTTCCAAACAAGGAACTTCCGAAGGAAAAATTGTGCAAATATTTTGTAATTATTTATTTCCTAGATTACAGGTAAGTTCTTTGTTTTATTTTAAAAATATTTTCAAAGAATTGAATAAGTAAAATGTTTTTCTTCTACTTTCTAGTCAATGTTACACATGATGTTTTGGGATATACTTTTCATATTTTATTTTATTCTTATTTTACAAAAAAAATTCTTAGATATACTTTATTCTATTTCATTCACTTTAATAAGTATTATTTTAGTTTGTAGATTTGGTTAAAATTTAATTTAATGTGTTTTCAAATGTTGCACATCCTGACTTTTGTGAGACCTAGTGAAGGGGGTGGGAGTTTGGGTTGGGGGCTAGAAATTAAAAAGAGGGAGAAGGTAGAAAAATATTTTTGAAAAATCACTTCCTGCAAATTTGGGTCCCTCTTTGAAAAACTGATATTCATTAAGGTTCATAGAATGAAAAAAATATCAGGAGTGATGTGAGTGATGTAGTATATTTTTGCTTTTTTGTGAAGTTTTACTTAAAACATTTTTAATGATTCTTCTTATATTCTTAGACAACCACCACAATATAAATTCCTGCTGAAATATAAATGTCAGACAAAAAACATGTAGTGCCGTGTCTATTAGAATTGTTTTTATGAGAAACCAGAATGTGTTTTATAATTTAGGAGGCAATAACATTGTTTTGAATTATTTCTACATTTGTGCAACTTTGATGTTGTAGAATTTATGAATGGACAATAGGCAGAAAAATGCATATGATGGCCACATGTAACTTACTTAAAACATGGATGGTTCATTGAAAAAAATATGATTACCAAACCCTTTGATGCAGTTTTACTAATATCCCCAGTGCTCCAAGCATTAAATGGTTCAATTGTATTTGAAGGAAAGTTTATCACAAATCAAGATATGAAGTGTGTCTGACTTATGATCTTCTGGTTCCAGCAGACAAAACATTTTCAATGAAAGTATGGAATTTTAGATGTTGTACAAATGTTTAACACATGTTACAGATAGACTTTAGGATTTTTATTTAGGTAGGATGTTAGGGAAAGACTCACTCACAGTTCATGTTGAGTTATTGTTAATCTCCGCTAGATCTATTACCAGGAGAATCTTGATGATGAAATATCTTTCACAATGGGAGCTTGATATGTGGTTAAAGTGACATTTTGTTAAAAAAATAAATCCACGTCTATGTGGTACTCTTTTCAAGAAACTTAACAGGTCCATTTTGAGTTGTTCTGAAATGTTCAACAAACAATGTTTTTAGCTTAGATAATCTGGACTTCTTTTTCATATCAAAATGTAGGTGTAAAAACAGTTTTTATCTTTGCATTTGCAATCAGCAGTGGGTATATAGTTGGCATTTATAACAAATATTATTGTTTTGACTTTTGACATTGTTTGCTTGTTCAACACGTAACTATTGCATTAAGAAAAAATGGAACCAAAAACTCATTTCATTTCAGTAAGTCAAGGATATAAATTCTAGACATTCTTTTGACTGAGAAAACTTTATGAAAACCTTGAAAAAGTTGGGACTGCTCTACAAAGAAAAGTGTAATTTTCTTCAAGAAAAGCAGTTCCCCTGGCAGGTTAGTCAAGTACCCATCTTACAATATATTGAAGAAATCTTTTAGATAAAAGGAGGGATACAGGTGCGGGTTTGCTCTATGGACCCCATACTGTTACATTTATCTGATTAAGCTATGCTTTTTACCAAACACAAGTAGATTTTCCCAGGTGGTTCTTAAGCTTCATGGGAAATGATAACCTTTAGAGTATCAGGTATAAAACTGTCTGCACTTTATAAATCTCCACATGATGACATTATATTAAGGCTCCTGTCCAACATTCTGTAGTTTATCATTTCGCTTAGAGTTGACCTTCAAACCAAAGACCACTCTATGAAATTATTTCAAAGAGGCTAAAATCAATAACTTAAATCATCTAAAAATCATAGCTGAATCAGTAAAATGAATTGAGAAGTTTTATATCAAGTAGTGCATCACTTGGAGGAGAATAAGGTATATTAGAATCTGCGTTACTCTAAATGCTAAAGGTCATCAGCGAAGGTCGGGTCAAGGTCAAATCTTTCAGGTAGACTTGAAATGTTTGCATACATTGGCACTGATAGTCATTGATACTGTGTACTTGTGAACTTTTATTTAAAGGCTCTAGTTCTCATAAGTAGGGCTAGGTCAAGTGTGTACAAGAATGCATTTGAAGTTTGAACACTGGAAAATGTCACGAAGCAGTCGCCAACCTCAAAATAGAAATGAATTGTTTGTTGTTTACATGGAATAGATGTTACAAATCAAATTTTTTGCTAGAGAAAGTTTATGCTCAGTTACAGTATGTATACAGGCTCCTAAATTTTCCTTATTATCAAGATTTGCTGAGTGATTGTTTACTCAATTTGTCAATACATTTGTGTAATAAATTGAGATAAAACAGCTCAATGTTCCGTTACTTTAATGCCTTCTTTTTTCTAATGATAATCAACAATGTTTTATTTGGAACCGACTAGGATCTAGAAGCATAAAATCGGCACCTGTTTATTTTGATAATTTAAAGTCTGTCTCATGATAAATATAAATCTGGGAGAGTTGAACCATTTTATTTCAAACTTAAATTAAATTTAATGGATACTGTATCTCTGAATTAATTTGTTTAATTTTTTTTGGTAATCTGGATATATACTTGCATAAATGTAGAAATATTTTTATTACAAAGAACTAAAAACATTTTAATACAACTTAAAATTAGTAAAATATATCTCTAAATCAACATTTGATTCGTCTAATTTAATTTAAAATATCCCGGAGGAATATCTGAAAAACAAACCAAGAATGAGCATGATTGGGACCTCCCAGAGTACAAGTACAGTATATGGTACGAGTATAAAATAACCACTAAACAGCAATATTGGTTTTATGGAGACAAAATAGTATGATTCTGTATTTAAAAGACAATGAGTTAAAGTTAAAAAGTGAATTAGTTACCAGTCTCACCAAGATGTGTCTAACTTGAGTCTGATATTGCAGACACACAAAAACGACCATAAGCTATGATAATAAAAGACTTAGTATACACATTTTTCAAGCTGATCAATAATTTTAAATGAATTTTTTTTTAATGAACCTTTATATACAGATTTTGAGATAAGATCTCAGTTGACTGAATTTGGAATGTTTGTTAGTCATAGAGATCAAGATTTTTATCGTACCTAATAAAGGTACGATATTGTCGTCAGCTTGGCGGGCGGCGGGCGGCGGGCGGGTGGGCGGCGGGCGGCGTCTCACTTTTCAGCATGTCTACAGGTTTCCAGCCAAACCATATGACAGATTCATCTGAAATTTTCAGGAATGTTTCTACCTATCAAAGTTAAGAACTGATTAGTTTTTGGGCATTCTGGGTAAATTTTAAGGTGGCCATTTTTGATTTTCCATCCTAAAATCTTCACTTTCAAGACTTGTCTACAGGTTTCCAGCCAAACCATTTGACGGATTAATCTGAAATTTTCAGGAATGTTTCTACGTATCAAAGTTAAGAACGGATTAGTTTTTGGGCATTCTGGGTAAATTTTAAGGTGGCCATTTTGGTTTTTCCGTCCTAAAATTTTCACTTTCAAGACTTGTCTACAGGTTTCCAGCCAAACCATTTGACGGATTCATCTGAAATTTTCAGGGATGTTTCTACGTATCAAAGTTAAGAACTGATTAGTTTTTGGGCATTCTGGGTAAATTTTAAGGTGGCCATTTTGGATTTTCCGTCCTAAAATCTTCACTTTCAAGACTTGTCTACAGGTTTCCAGCCAAACCATTTGACGGATTCATCTGAAATTTTCAGGGATGTTTCTACGTATCAAAGTTAAGAACTGATTAGTTTTTTGGCATTTTGGGTAAAATTTAAGGTGGCCATTTTGGATTTTCCGTCCTAAAATCTTCACTTTCAAGACTTGTCTACAGGTTTCCAGCCAAACCATTTGACGGATTCATTTGAAATTTACAGGGATGTTTCTACATATCAAAGTTAACAACTGATTAGTTTTTGGGCATTCTGGGTAAATTTTAAGGTGGACATTTTGGATTTTCCGTCCTAAAATCTTCACTTTCAAGACTTGTCTACAGGTTTCCAGCCAAACCATTTGACGGATTCATCTGAAATTTTCAGGGATGTTTCTACGTATCAAAGTTAAGAACTGATTAGTTTTTGGGCATTCTGGGTAAAATTTAAGGTGGCCATTTTGGATTTTCCGTCCTAAAATCTTCACTTTCAAGACTTGTCTACAGGTTTCCAGCCAAACCATTTGACGGATTCATTTGAAATTTACAGGGATGTTTCTACATATCAAAGTTAACAACTGATTAGTTTTTGGGCATTCTTGGTTAATTTTAAGGTGGCCATTTTGGATTTTCCGTCCTAAAATCTTCACTTTCAAGACTTGTCTACAGGTTTCCAGCCAAACCATTTGATGGATTCATCTGAAATTTTCAGGGATGTTTCTGCGTATCAAAGTTAAGAACTGATTCGTTTTTGGGAATTCTGGGTAAATTTTAAGGTGGCCATTTTGGATTTTCTGTCCTAAATTCTTCACTGTCATACTGCTGTGTTTTAGGTACGATATTGTTCACGTCTGTGCCTTGTTACTTCTATCATCTCAACTTTTTAAGATATTTCAACATTATGTCAATGAAAATTTTCCTAATCTTTTTGAGAACGCTTTGTAGACCTCAAATGGTTTAACTCAACACATTGTGAATTAAACTGTTGTAAGCAGAATAGAATTTAAGTTTAACTCGAACTTATGATTGAAAATACAAAAATTTCATCATACTTGTATAAGATAGAAGAAAAGGTAAGTTATTGATGGTTAAATGGGTTAAATGTACAAACCTCAAGGCTGATTATAAACAAGGTTCAAGGAGATTTCAAACGGATCTAGAAAAGGTCGATTTGTTCTTATTGATTACTAAATTACTTCATAAGGTAAGTCAGTTATCTACTGTAGGGAATTAACTCCCCATGATCATGAACTAATCCA